TCCTTCCTTATATAGTACTTGGTGTAGTGCATTATATAGAGACATTAAAGAATCCTTTTGGAATTGAAGGGAAGAATTAGAAAATCTGATTCCTTTTTGTAGGTAGAAATTTAGTGTGAAATTTGACACATTCTTAGGAAATAATTATCTTTTTAATAAAGAAATTTTTATTTCAGTTGCTTTGAAGATGTTTCCTTCCCCGTCAAAGAAGTTCTTTATTTCTTCTAGTTCTTACCTTTTGAGCCTTTAAATCTAATTAAAACCCAGACCTTTTAATTGTCTTCCTCACTTTAAAAATAATACGTGCTTATTTTTTTTTTCTATAATTCAAAGTTACATAATTAGAATATCCTCAGTATACCTTCTTTCAGAGGTAGACACTCTAGTTTGGTATATATGTGCTTCCAGGCTTTTTTCACATTTTATATAGTTTTTTAATGGAATTATAGTTTACATAATTGTACAACTTGCTTTTTCTACTTGGACATCTTTCCATTATAGAAAACATATATAAATCCACCTTCTTCAAAGGCCTTATTCGTATAGTACATATACATTTATAATCACCTTGATTTCTAGCTTTTTTGTCTTTGTCATTTATTATCTGTCACATGGTTTGTTCTGTGATATGTAACTAATTCCAGTTGTATATTTGGTAAAAGCTCTAAGCGTAGACTGGTCGTTTGTCTTGGGTAAGGTGCAGTTTGATTTCACTAAATTTGTTTTTGCCTCTTTGAAATATAATTGTTGAGGAAAATATAAAAAGTATTAGGGAAATAGGTTTCAAATGTACCACTAAAAACAGAATTTATTTCTTTTTTTTCTTTATTTTTATTTTTTATATTTGAGAGAGAGAGCACAAGGGGGGGAAGGGGCAGAGGGAGAGGGAGAAGCAGTCTCCCCGCTAAGAAGGTATTCTTTTGCCGGTCTTGTTCCCATGTCCCTGTGATCATGATCTGAGCTGAAGGCAGTCGCCCAACCAACTGAGCCACCCAGGCGCCCCCAGAAGTTATTTCTTAAATATGAATATAAATATAAATTTAATTGAGCTCTAGTCTAAAACTATGTCTTCTTATTTGAAATATATACTAGGTTAGTTTCTTTGTGAAAGGTGCACATCATTTACCTTTGGTAGTTTCTTTAAGTACATAATACTATCCTCACGTTCAGTGCTTTTTTCTTTCAGGGATAAAAGAGAAATAGAGGGTAGAAGAAGATGCTGGGATCTGAACGTGGTGTTGTGGAAGAATGGTTATCAGAATTCAAGGTAAATTGGATTGGGGATAAGAATGTGTCATATGATTCTATATGTCAGTAATTCAGACAGTGAATATGTGTTCTCTGGAGAAACTGAAACAAATGTTATGATATGAAGTGGAAATGGCAAAATATGAAATAATGTGTTTCTATACATGTAAGTCTTTAAAAAGGCACTAAGGTGAATAATGACTAGAAGGTAATGTGTAAAATTGAAAATAGTTGTTAGGATTGATGAGGGGATATATGAATTTTTAAATACATCGAATAAAAGGGGAAGCTTCCAAGCTTTAATAAGGCACAGACATAGGATTTGTGCCTTATATTTTTATTTCCTATAATTAAAAATCACCCATTGATTTGATTTAAAACTATATAATTTCTGAATACTGTAGAAATAAATGTTTTATAAACATAAAATGCAAGAATTAAAATATATCCTATACTTATTTTTTTAGAGTAGATTAGTTTAAGTTGACCTATTTCAGCAGATCTTGGTATAATGTGTGATTTCTAATCATTTTTCATGGTTGAGTAGTTTGAAGAACTGTATACTATAACATTCTAACTTAATTTGTTTTATTAACTCTCATGGTTATTTCTTGTATTATTTTTACTTTTCTTAGTTGACTCTATCATAGTTCTTTTCAAGAGGAACTCAGGTAAAATAAATTTCCTGACTTCCCAAATATTAAGTTTGCTTTTGATTTCCTTGGATGTTTCTTCTAGGCATTACCTGACACTCAGATCACCAATTATGCAGCAACTTTACACCGGAAAAAATCACTGGTACCAGCCCTCTATAAAGTTATTCAAGATTCGAATAATGAGGTAGGAAAGTTTATAAGAAAAATAATTTCAACATAGTAAAATGAAATATGTGTACTAAAACACATATGTAAGTTTTGTAGTTTTCCCTTCTCCTTTTAAAAATTCTTCTTATGGGACTGGAAAACTTTCTTTCTGCTGTGTTTCATTCTGATGGTTGCTTTGGCTTTCCCTTTGCCCTCCCTCTTATTATTTTAAATGTTTTGATCAGGAAGCGTGCTGGGCCCACATAAATGTTTTGATCAGATTTGTTTCTGTTCAGGACTGTATGTTTCGATTGTTGATTTGAATGACCATCATCTCATTGGATTACTTATTTAATTTGAAACTTTTCTCTCTTTCCTGTTCGGAATGTTTCCTTTTCTGGAATCCAAATTTTAGCCATACACTGATTCAGACTTTTTTATTTTAAGTGTTGTTTGCAGTTATTCTATTGATGATACAGAACTGTGTATATTACTCTAATGAGTGAACTCAAACTGGTGACATGAAATGATGCTTCTAGTAAATTTAGCTTGAAATGATTGGAGAAAGCACTATTTAGCATAAGTAGTCAAGATGAATAAACTTAGAAAAAGAGTTTCCTGTTACTCAGCTTTGTGTAGAAGGGGGAAAATGTAGTTATTGTATCTATATGTTAATTAATGCAAAATACACACATTATCTTTCCATTAACACAATAGTATGACATACAGTTTTATCACCACTGGATTCGTGTATGCTTTAAAATGAAAATAAAAGGAACACACAGGAAAGTAGCTTCTTATCTTCCCAGATACAGCCTCCAAGAGTGCCTCTGCTGTGTACTGGAGTGAGTTTGAAGAAGTTCAGGTAATCATCTCCTAACCAGCAGCTTAATTTAAAGTGCATCTTAATTTTTGTCCTATCACTAAAAGCTTGCTTATTGACCTCTTTCTTTCCTGTCTCCTAAACTTGGATTGGCTCTCAGTTAGGCTTGCATCTGTTGCTATTTGTAGCAGCAATTGCAGGATTCATTTGCTTCTTTTTTCTCTTGCTGTGTATTTATGAATGTTTTATAACTTTAGATGTGTTTATATATATATATGTATATATGTGTATATACACATATACATATACTCATCCTTTTTGGTTAGGAGTTTTCAAAATTCTGTTTGAATAATGAATATGTGTATTTCCTACCCCTTGTTTTGCACTGTCTTAACGTTTAAGCTTTGCCTATTATAATTTGTTTTATGCTTTCTCTTTAGATTGTAAGCTCTTCATGGGCAGTGGTCATATATTCTATATTTGTAACTTCTCTAGAATATATTTTGTCATGTACATGATGAACACTTAATAAATATTGATTAGAAGAATAGTAAAACACAAAATGACACTGAAATGCTATCATTTTCATTAGGAGTCACAAGTATATAAAAAGGATTAGTTTCCTTTATACTTTAGAAGCTATGACATTAAAAAAAAGTTATTCACATTATTTAAACTGTAATACTTCATAATACTCATATATGAGACCTTGTTATGGCCACAACGGGGAAAAATTACAGCTTGAGAGATTCAGGCTCAACAGCAGTCACTGTAATCATCCAGTTGCCAGAGCAGATCTGTCTTTCCATCTTTTCTCTTGTCAGGTCATAAAGTTCTAACCATGTCATATTTCAGAAAAGCAGAATGTTTAGCTCTATAGCATCTCAGACCAATTCTGGACTTTAGTCCTAGAAGGAAGACCCTTGTAGTCCTGATTTTGTTATATTCTGAAAGACAATCAACTGTTTTATTTAGTTAACAGGAAATTATTTCAGAAAATTGTCACATGCCATATATAATATTAGTTGAAACTTATGACAGTTTTATGAACAGTTTTGCTTTAAAGACCTTAAAAGTTCTTAAAGTGTATTTCCTGGTTTGGTATTACATATCATGGCCAACCTGTACTGCAGCTGAAGTTTTAATCTCTAGACCAACATACTGCTTAATTTTTCTCCTTTCCCTTGTTCCAGATCCTTTGGACATTCTAGCAGCTCTTCCATTTCAAGGAGCTCTCCATCCAGTCTATTAATCCTATCACTTTTTCATGATTTGATTGCCTTTCCTTCTTCCCTCACATATCACACTTCTCTCTTCACCCAGCTAAATTTTTATAGTACATCATAGTCTGTTTCCTTGCAAACATTATTAGCTCCTTTGCTTCTCCTTCCATTAGTTCTCATTCTTTGGGAAAATCTCAACACTGGATAAAACTCTGCTGTTCATCTTCACACTTGTACCTGAATAGCTGAACATACTTGGAGCAATCAGCTGCAACAACAATTTTGTTGACTTTCTCCACTTTATCTTTTATTTATTTATTTATTTTGAGAGAGAGAATCAGAAGCAGACTCCAGCTCAGCAGGGAGCCTGCCGCGGGGCAGATACGGGGCTCATGACCTGAGCTGAAATCAGGAGTCAGATCCTTAACCAACTGAGCCACCCAGGCACCCCCTAGTCCTGCATTTAAAGTGCAGAAAGTCAGGGGTGCCTGGGTGGCTCATCGGCTAAGTGTCCCAACTCTTGATTTTGGTTGAAGTCATGATCTCACGGTGCTGGGATCGAGCCCCACATGGGGCTCTGTGCTCAGTGGGGAGTCTGCTTGAGGATTCTCTCTTTCCATTTCCCTCTCTCTAAAATAAATAAATCTTTTTTAAAAAAATGCAGGACTAAAAATCTCAGTCACATAATGTCTTGCAATCTTGCTTTACTTTCTTGGTACACTATCCCCACTGTGGATTTTACACATTCCTTTCCTCATTAATCTTACCCTCCTTTCCCTCATCTTCAGCTTGCTTTCTGTGTCATTAAAAAAGAAGAAGATAATTGGGAATTCTCTTATTTTCCCATTCATACCTATCACTTTACCAGCTTCTCCACCTACATTCTCCTGCCTTTTCTGCTGCGGTGGATGAAGTGTCCCAGGTTGTATCAAAGGCTGTCTTCACTTAGGCCTGGATCACATCTTCTCTAGCCCCCTCAAAGATTGTTCCTGCAGTTATACCTTCTCTTTCCTTCATCATTGATTTCTGACCAGAAGTTAATGGATTGCCAGCTATTCCTCCCCCCCCCTTTTTAAAAAAGAAAGCAGAGTAAAAATTTTGGCAACTCTGTATTTCTTTGCTATGCCTAATTAAAATGTAGTCTCTTACATGCCACTGTGGCTACTGAGGAAGGGAACTTAAGGTCTTTATAACAGAAGCAATTGTAATTGGGGCACCTGGCTAACTCAGTCGGTAGTGTGTGTGACTCTTGATTTTAGGGTCATGAGTTTGAACCCCACGTGTGGTGTAGAGTTTACTTAAAATAAAAGTTAAAAAAAGAAAGAAACCAATTGTAATTGTACCATAGCCAATAAAATTTAGAGACAGCAATTTTGGAGTCTTTACTAAAGAGAAAAATAGATTGGAAACATGGATATGTATTTTTAATAAATACATTTATGAGAGCAGTGATCTTTAATTCCCCAAAAGAGCTATTTTTGTCAGTACTTTAAAAAGATGCCAGCAGTTGACTATTTTCAGAAGTTTATTACTTCATTATTGACACTATGTGGAATATAGTATCTGTAATTAAACAATCCTTACCTCCTGCCCTCCAGTTCATTCTAGTATAAGAAATGTGGATGGGGTGCCTGGGTGGCTCAGTCATTAAGGGTCTCCCTTCGGCTCAGGTCATGATCCAGGGTCCTGGGATTGAGCCCTGCATTGGGCTTCCTGCTCAGCGGGAAGCCTGCTTCTCCCTCTCCC